GGTGGGCTCCACATACAAAACCTTACCTATTCAGATGCCCTGTAGGGGCAGCCTCATGACTATGTTTGACCAATGAGATATAATCAGAAATCTGCTTGGGGCTTTTTAGAAAGTCTTTTTATGTTATTGTTGTTGGCTTTTTAAAAAGATTTTGAGACAAGTTCTATGTAGATCAGGCTGTCCTAGAACTCAAGAGTTCTGTCTGCCTTTGCCTTCTGAGTGCTGGGGTTAAAGGTGCACCCCACCACTCCCAGTTAGGAATACACTTAAAAAGCAGCCCTTCCTCCCCACCTGCTATTGTCCTGTGGGCTTGGTGCCTAGAGCTGTGGTAGCTTTGCAAAAGAATGAGGCTGAAGCCATAGGATAAGAAGGATCGCTGTGTTATAAGGATGGTGGAACTCACGGCTTTAATCCCAGCACTCTGGGAGGCAGAAGCAGGCAGATCTCTGTGAGTTTGAGACCAGCCTGGTCTACAATAGCTAGTTCCAGTGAAGGGACCAGCTCCCTATTTTGGCAGCCATGACAGTAACACGTGCTTGCCATGACCTTGTCCTAGTCACTAGAAGTCATATGGCTGCCTCGTGGCAAGGAACCAATCAGAAGTTAGCTGGCGGCTCTGTGCTTTACAGTCCTGGGTGTGCTTTAAGGACAAGTGCACAACAATGATGTGCAGAGCATAGCAACCACCCTGGGAGGGCCTATGGGCCATAACAACCAGTTGGCCAATCAACACAGGGCAAGCCCTCCAAGCCTGGAGGCACACCAATACTGAGCCTGTGCGTACCCCTAGACACTCCCCTTACACTACCCTACAAGATCTCTATGCAGCCGGTTCAAGCTGTCTTTGCTAGACATCCGCCATGGTGGGTGGCTGAAAGACCTGAGCTAACATGGGGTTAGCTCGTTAAACAACCATAAAGCCTCATGCAGTTTGCAGCAAGCTTTCGAATCTGCCTGGTGATTGGGGTGACCGAGGTCCTGGGCTGAGACCCCGGAGGCCTGAGTTTTCCAGGGGTCTAACACCAGGACAGCCTCCAAAGCCACAGAGAAACCCTGTCTCACCCCGCCCCCCCCCAAAAAAAAAGGATGGTGGAAGAGCCAGGATCCAGAGACCTCTGTCATGTCCATAGCACCTTCACCAGCCTCGGGCTGGCCACCTGGAAATTCAAGAACATTCCATGCCTTCTGAATAGAGGATACACCTCCATGCTGATTTTGTGTGAATCCTCCCTCCTCCTACTTACCTACCTTTCCAGGTTTATTAACCCCCTCCTGGGTGGCCTGGGCTGCTCTTCTCTTACTAGAAGCCTTCATACCTGAGATCTCTATGCTGTGAACTATCTTAAGTGTTCTTGTGTTAGATCTGCCTCACCAGGCAGGATTGTGGGAACTTGGGAAGAGTCTGTGCTTCAGAGTAAGACTCTCTGAACTCTGGAATTCTCTGCAAGCTGGTTTTGATCCAGGTCTCTGCCTCCTGGGGTTTTGGCAAGCCGGCCTCCTTAAGCACTGAGCAGGGTACTTGGCATTGGAGGCACCCTGGAGCTACTAATGAGTTGCTAGGTTGGTGACCATTTAGCTGTGTCTCTTTCCTGTCCTTTGTGGCTGTGCCTCTCCTGATTTGCATTTCAACAAGGAGACTTGTCCTGAGTCAGAGGGTGACTGAGTTTTAGGGAGTTACAATCTTCCTAAACTCAGGTCCTAGACTCCTGGCATCAGTCTTCAAACACTAGATCCGGGGCAGAGGGCAAGAGAGAGCTTGTATCTATAACTCAGGTTGTGCCATGCTAATTTAAAGACTTGAATGAGTTTATCTTTCTCTTAAGAAAAATGAAAGCATTGGTCCAGTGTTGCCAGGCAACAGGAATGACAGGACAGCCTTAAGACGTTTAGCTTTTACCCAGTGCACACCTCTGTCTGTGACAGGTGAATAGGCAGGCCTGCAACTTTGCTATCCTAATCTCCTTGCCTTGGGCTCATGGCAGAAACCTGGATCAAATAAGTGATCCTGAGAATTGACCCATAGCAAGCATTTCCATCACTGAAACTTTAATGAGAAATGCCAGTTTTACCATTTGCAAGTTATAAGTGCCAATTGCACACAGGCCTAAGTGGGGATGGATGCAATGAACTGGGCAGAAAATGAGAGGTCACCATGGACATAAATAGCATGCTAATATGTCCTGACAGTGTGGTCCCAAGCCACTCTTCTCCGTTTCACTGAGCATCACTCACAGGACCCAGCCAACCGAAACTTATTTCCATCCCTCTACGGCGAAGCTCTATGACAAGGAAGAGAGAGTGGTTAGAGTCATTGAGGGCAGAGCTGCATCCAGGCTCACTGTGTTTGCCACTTTTTCCCCTCCTGTGGCTCTCAGTGCCAGAGCTGGCCACACTGCTGCTTGGGCTGGTGGGAGAGGAGCAGTTGACAGTCTAGAAAGGAAGGTGTGTTGGGGCTCACAAGGGGGCGTTGCTGGTGAAAGTTGAACTTCTTTGTTGTGCATGCCTTCCTTACAGTTTTGCTTCTGGGCTCCCATTGAGCCCTCTTTGCTTACTTTGGAGGCTGGAGAACAGCCCTACTACAGGAAATTGTTTACTTTGATCTCTGTAAATCAGTATGTCTGTAAATCAGTATGTAAATCAGTATGACTCTCTACATTTTTGAGAGTCTGTATGTGTGTGTGTGTGTGTGTTTGTATGTGTGTGTGTATTATGTTGGGTTTTGTGTATGTAGTGTGTGTTATGTTGGGTTGTATATAATGTTGGGTTTTGTGTGTGTGTGTGTGTGGTGTGTGTTATGTTGGGTTGTATATAATGTTGGGTTTTGTGTGTGTGTGTGTGTGGTGTGTGTTATGTTGGGTTGTATGTGTGTTATATTTGGTTGTGTGTGTGTTATGTTGGGCTGTGTGTGTGTGTTGGTGGATTGTGTGTGTATGTTGGGGTATGTGTGTGTTGGGTTGTGTCTATGTGTTATATTTGGTTGTGTGTGTGTGTGTAAGTGTGTGGCATGTTGTATGTGTGGTATTTTTAGTTCCTACCATTTTGACTTCTTCCTTTTCTGAGTCTTGGGGATGTGGCTGTATTTTCCTGCCTTTCTTACCAAGGAAAGCACTGGCTACTTTAGGTACCCCCTAACCCAAGTTCCCTAGTGTGTGTGTGGGGGGATGTGGGGGTGTTGGGGTGTCAGTGTGTCTCCTTTTAATCAGTTGTCTGAAAGCTCTGGCCAAATGGACCTTGACAACAGCTTGGTGTTGCCACCCTGACTTGTTTGCATATCTGGAAGTGTCCAAAGTCTTGGCTCTTATGAAGTTCCTGTAGTAACTGTAGCAAATTACCATGGGCTTGGTGGCTTAAAATGAAAGGGTTTTCTTTTATAATTCTGGAGTTCAGAAGTCTAAAATGGGTTACCAGGGCTGTTTCTTTCTGGAGACCCTGGAGAGAATTCATATTCTAGATGTTTCCAGCCTCCAGAAACTACCCAAATTATTTTTTAAAACTTATTTATTTTCTGTGCATTGGTGTTTGGCCTGCATGGATGTCTCTGTGTGGGTGTCAGATTCCCTGGAACTGAGTTGCAGACAGCTGGGAGCTGCCATGTGGGTGCTGGGAATTGAACTTGGGTCCTCTGGAAGAGCAGCCAGTGATCTTAACCACTGAGTCATCTCTAGCACCCCTCTCCACCACCCACATTCCTTGACTTGTGGCCTTGCATCATTCTGCCCCTGGAGGATGGCTCCCTATACCTGTTGTGATATTGGGTTCACCTGGATAATGCAGGCTCAGTTCCCATGTCAAGGTTCTTGAACATGTCCCAGAGTTGTAACTATATTGGCAGGAATGAAGATATTCTAAACTAAGAGGCATGTGTGAGCACCTCTTTGGCCATCAGGGTACTGAAGCAATAGACCTCAAGAAATCTCAAGAAACTGGAATTTCCCTGTGAAGATGGAGGTTTCTGTCCCACCTGGTCCAGTTGCCAATTAGCCCCAAATGAACACACAAAGACTTATATTGATTAATGAACTGTTTGGCTGATGGCTAGGGCTTATTACTGGTAGCTCTCTCTGAATTATTAACCCATTGCTATTAATCTAAGTATTTCCACATGCTCTTGGCTTACCCTGTAATGCCCCAGCATGTTACTCCTTCTGCCTCTACATGGGGTCTCTCCCCAGCCTTCTCATCTGGTAGCCCTGCCTATGCTTCTTGCCTGGTTACTGGCCAATCAGTGTTTTATTCATCGACCAATAAGAGAAACACATATACAGAAGAACATCCCTCATCATTCCCTGGGAGTCTCATATTAGAAGAAAACTGAAGCCTGGAGCCGGCAATAGGTGAGCTTATCTCCTAGAAGGAGATTTCTTGTAGTTCTGGCTATTTCCAGATCTTTTGGGGAAGACCAGCTAAGATAATAAGGGGCCGGGCCACACCAGACTGTTGAGTTATGCATTACCTCCAGCTCTCTATTTGAATCTGAGCTTTGAGTTAGGACCCCCAAGATGGACCTCTTCATTTGTCCCTCTTTATAATGTGGAGAACTTACTCTAATTGAGTAAGTCTCCATTTTCTGTTTTTCACTACTGTCTAATTCACCTGCAGAGGACAGGTGCTGAAATCCAGCTTGTGAAGGCTTCCAGGACCCAGGTTCTCAACTAACAGCCTTTGTAACAGTTTCTTTTGTGAGCTGAAGTAACATTCTCAAGATTCTGCCGACAAGGACATTTTTGTTGGGGGATGGGCTTACTTTAACCTTACAATATAAAGGGAAAAAAAGAAAACTGTACCAGCATGAGTAGATGTGGTAGGATCCAGGCCAGCTTGGTCACTAATGTGATTCTATCATTTTAACAAGGCTTTCTGGGCCCTCCTTGAGGATCCACCTGGCAACTCCAACCTGTTGACTTCTGCAGTTCTCTCTTGGGGAGGAGGCATTGTCATCACAGTGAGAAGCAGGCTGAAGGCAGGGGGCTGGCCAAGTGCCTTCACACACAGGCTAGTCGTCAGCAGCTAGCTGGCAGCTGTGCCATGGAGCAGGGTTGCAATGGGAGGGGAGGAGTCTGGTGGTGCACAGAGGACATTGCCAGTGATGGAAGAAGCAAAGGCACTTGGAAGTAGGACCACAGGGTTTTAATCAAACACAGCAATATGGCCGCCAGGCAGAACAGGTAATGCTTGGAGAAGAGAAAGAAGACCATCTCCTTGGCAACGTAGACGATGTGGATGAAGATGAAGCAATACAGGAACATGGCAAACTGGTTCTGGGGGAGCAAGAGGTCCTGGAGGCCTCCTGAGAACTGTGAGGGAAAGAAGATGGCATAGCTGGCAATACCAGATCTAGATTCAGTCCTGCCCCAACCTGGAAGGTGACCTCAAGGAGGCCACTCAGTAGTAATACTCCCTTCCCAAAGTCACGAGGAAGAATGAGAAAATAAATGGGGGGGGGGCCTAGTGAGGTCACTGGCACATAGAGGATCTCGTTTGCTTTGTATCTTGAACTTGCATTATCTCTCCTGACCTTGGGCACTAGGCTAACACTGTCCTTTCCCTCCCTGTCCCATCTTGCCCAGCGGGGTTGCCCATGTGAACAAGTTCTCTAGTATTCCAAGGTTCCCAGATCTCTGGTTCTTAGAAATACATACATACATACATACATACATACATTCATATTTAAGATTTATTTATTTACTATGTATACAGTGTTCTGACTGCAGGTATCCCTGCAGGTCAGAAGAGAGTATCAGATCTCATTACAGATGGTTGTGAGCCACCATGTGGTTGCTGGGAATTGAACTCAGAACCTCTGGAAGAGCAGTCAGTGCTTTTTAACCTTTGAGCCATCTCTCCAGCCCTCTTAGAAATATTCTTTGGATATTGTCCCCTGATAGTCTAGTTTTCTGGAACAGTGGCACTCTGAAGATGCATCCCTTGAGCTCAAGTGAGTGTCTCAGACTCCCTGTGTCTTGGCACATGTCACATGGTTAGTATGTGGTCCTCCACCCTGATTTGCTTTTTCCGGGGGCAGGTGGCTAGAGTTATAGTCTCCCTGACTGTGCAGGGAATCGGGTTGTCAAATGGGTCTGACTCTGAGTTCTATTTTCTAAAGTCACTAACTAGGTTCAGACTTGTTCTACCTGTCATCAGTTTTGGTCTGAGCCAAAGAATTTCCCATGCTTTCTGCTCCACAATATTGTTTAAGATGTCATACTTTCACAGCTAAATGGCAAAGACTGAGATGCCCTAAACTAGTGAGAAATATTAGTTTAGATATATTCACTATAATTAAATTTATTCATCCGTTGTCTCCCCTCTCCTTCCAGTCACTTAGAAAAAGAGAAAACGATGGAAGGCTCCATAATCAAGTCATGCCCCACACCAGGTTTGTTTTGTTTTGTTTTGTTTTTGGAAATGAACCATTAACAAAACACTTTTGTAAGCTATTCCCAAGGGCCCAGGCCTTAGATACATCCTTGCTGAAAACAGCTACAGAAATGAGAAAGCAACTCTATCAAGACATAAAACTAAAGGGATAGGGAATGAATCCAGCTCTGATGCCCCTGAGGTGAACAGCAAGGAAGGCAGGAGACCAGAGGAAGAGATTCAGTGTTCTCTAGACAGGCAGTGCTCTGTAGGCTGGGGCTCCATGTATGACTTCTGATACAATCTACAGCCTGCATGTTTTAGTCTGAAATGAGGAAGGGAGGAAGGGAGGAGGGAAGCTGTAGTATGTGCATGTATGTGTGTGTATGTATATATATTCATATGTATAAGTTTATATATATAATACACTCGTACAATGAACTTGTTTGTTCATATTATATATATGAACACACACATATATGCTATACATATATACATACATATAGCAAACCCTTTAGACAACTATACTACCCATGGTCTATCTTTTAAGAAGCAGAGGACTTTGGGACTGGAGAGATAAGCTCAGTGGTTAAGAGCACTGGCTGTCTTCTAGAGGTCCTGAGTTCAATTCCTAGCAACCACATGGTGGCTCACAACCATCCATTATGAGATCTGGTGCCCTCTTCTAAATAAATAAATCTTAAGAAGAAGGAGGAGGAGGAGGGGGAGGAGGAGAGAAGAAGAAGAAGAAGAAGAAGAAGAAGAAGAAGAAGAAGAAGAAGAAGAAGAAGAAGAAGAAGAAGAAGAGGGCTTCAGGATAAGGATTTTCATTTCATCCAGAAAGGAGAAATATTTTTCAAATTAAAAAGAGAGAAATAAGTAGGAGACGTGGACCAACGAGACTGTGGTTGCTAATTTTCCCTTCAGGCATGCCTGTGAAGTTATCTAGGATAGGTTTACTGAGGTAGGACTTCCCACCCAGCTGTGGTTGGGCTCCATGTTTCCGGTTGGAGCCCTGGACTGAGAGGAAACAGTGATCTGAGGCCCAGTCCTAACCGAGGCAGTGGGACCAGCCTCCATGGGCTCCTCTCTGGAGCTATGAGCCAAAATGGGCCCTTCCTTCCTTCAGCTGTGTTTGTCAGGGTGTCTATGACAGTGACCAGACAAGAAACTAGTACCAATAGCATGCCTGATTTAAATAGTTTCTGGCTAAAATTTGCAACAATTTTTATCCTTGGACATTAAGGGGGGGGGGGAATCTAAGAACTTACAAGAGTTGGAAAATACCGTGGAATGTGTGTGAATTCTAAAGAAAGGCAAATGTTTTCTAGATATCAGGAGAGGAAAATGTATTCCAGATGTCCCATTCAATAATTGTGGCATGGCTCAGTAATATAGCATTTAATGTATAATTAAGCAGGTACCTTGTGAGTAAGAAAAAAATAATTAGGAAGCCAGCATGTGTTCATTGAGAATGAATCCTGAAAAGAAACCCATTTTCTCTTTAAAGAATTGACCAGTCAATTGGACAATGATTCAGGTAAAGTAATGCCTTATTCCCGGAAGCCTTTTGACACCAGGCTCAGGACAGGTTTCTTGGGCAAGCTGCAGAAATGCAAGCTGGAGAAAATGTAACAGCCGGTGTTGATTGATGGGACCCCGATGACCTGTGGTGGGATCTTACAATGGGATTTACTTTGGGTCAGATCCTTCTCAACAATTCTAGCCACAGCTTAGACGAGGACAAGCTTCTCAGAACCCAGGATGACTCAGAGCTGGGAAGCAGAGCTCTTTGTACATCACACTCCCAATAAAGCTGAGAATGATGGATGTAAGCTGCCGAGGGCGGGTCAAGAAGCCAATTGTATGACTTCATAAAAATGGTAATATCTAACCATTACTGAGCACTCACCTAATGTGCTGGCTCATCGCAAGGCGGCTTGCACGCATTCTCTCACTTATTCTTTACCTTGACCCCCTGAGAAGGGTTTGACTTCAGTGATGAGCAAACTAAGGCTCAAGGGGGATTAGTAATGTGTTCAAGGTTAAGTGGCTTACAAAAGCAGTATAGCCAGGGATTTTACCCAGACTCTATGACTTTAGCAACTGGGAGGCACCAATTTTAAGTGGTGACATCTTTCACCATGAAGTCCTTAGAATGGTCTGGTCACAGTGATAAATACCTTACATGGCATTTCATCTCAACTTGTCTTTTGTAACAGGGTTTCATATAGCCCAGGTTAACCTCAAACTTGCTATGTCACCTTGAGCTGGTCATTCTGCCTCACTTGCTGAGTGCTGGGATCCTGGCCATCCCACATATGCTTTATTTGGTGCTGGAGACCTAACCCAGCATGCTAGTCAAGCACCCTAGATCACCATCCTTCAGAAGAGCATTCTTGTCCCCACAATAGGGGTTGGGCACACATTTCTATGAGAACAACGTTGCCTTAGTTGGTTATAAGGCAGTGTGTTCAACAGAGAAAACTCAGCCCTGAAAGGGAGGAGATGGTTCTGTTGACATTCAGTGGCCAGACCACAGGGACTGCTACTATGTCTTAAGAAACAAAAGTGGTGGGAAACCAGTCATGGGGAGTATCAAACACAGACTATCAAAAAAAGGGTTGCTGGGTAGAGGGTGTGATTTCAGAGTTTCTCCTACCCTCAGCTCTCTTTGGAGACTTGAATCTCATTTAACACAGAAGCTCTGGTAGAGTCACCCAAGATGAGACAGTGGTCTCAGACCACCCTGCAAACTGACTCAAGGCACCAGAGGCTAGAGGAAGCTATATGGATGCTCAGCACTTCTCAGCCAGACCTGGGGACTGGCAGGCAAGGCGCATAGCCAAGCAGGTGCGGTGAACTGTAGGGTACAGTAAACCACGCCTGTTAGAGGCTGGCTACAGGCATGCCTGACCACGCCTGTTAAGGCGTGGTCAAGGTGAGGTCAGGATAACGCAGGATGGGCTCTTAAGGGGCTGCAGAGCACATGGGAAGCCCCGTCTCCCTGGCCTCGCTGCTCGGCTGCCTTGGGCACGCTCTAGCTTGAGTTTGGCTGGTATTTATCCCAATAAAGATATCTTGACCTTACGGACTACGGATCGTCTATTGTGGTCACTATCTACGGATCGTCTATTGTGGTCACGCAATAGTGAACCCTGTCTTACCGGGGTCCATGGGGATGACCCTTAGCCCTTAGCGCTATCCCACTACCTGGCGCGGCAAAGTCTGGTGCTGCTGCTGCTGCTGTAGCTGTTCCATCA